TCCTAAGAAACAAACTGCAAAGTTGTGCCACATTAGTAAACTCATATGTTATTACCACCGACATCCCATTAGTTTGGACCCCGAGTTGTATTGTCACATCCTTCAGAGTGATCGTACATTCTCCACACGGCAAATGAAACGTGTGCGTTTCTGATCTCCAACGTTCAATCAACTCACTGATCAAACCTGGGACCAATTTGTTATCTCGTACAAATGTTACATACCAAAATCCAACCTCTTGCAGGTTTTCTTCTATCAATTGGTGTGGCTTGGGCACTTTATGTAGCCGATGACGAAGGACTCGCTGCTCGTCCTCCTGCAATTAAATAATGCAAAAATTTTATCACAATCATAAAATAATATTCAAATTTTTATTAATAATAATTTATTAAACACATATTTTATTCACCATTATTCCCAAATGACTTGAAATATGTTCATTGGCAAGTCTCACCAGTGGAATTTTTTCAGCCATTCGAATGAATCTGTAGAAAAAATTAAACAACAGTATTTAAAAAATCATTTAATATAATCTAATGTTAAGTAACTAAATAACTAATTTACAACACAACAAAAATATTTAATATAATAACTTATAATTTACTACTAAAAAACTAATTAACTAAATTTTTTATATAATATAAATTCAACAAACAAATATAACTTAACTATTTAAATAACACAAACTAATTACATATTTTTTTATATATAACTAACGACTAACAAATTAACTACTTATTTTTATTAATATGTAACTATCAAACATACTAATTAAATAATTTTTTATTTCTATATGATATAACTTAAACTAACAATAATATAACTTAAACTAACAAACTAATTTTTTGTTTTACCCTAATTTATAATAATAAACTAATTAACTAATAATTTATAATAATAAACTAATTTAAATAATTATTCTTTTATATAACTTAAACTAATAAACTATTTTTTATTATAATAAAACTTAAACTACTAATAAACTACTTAACTAAATTTTTTATATAATATAAATTCAACAACCAAAATATAACTTAACTATTTAACTAACTACAAACTAATTAAATATTAGACTAACTAACACACTAATTAATTTTTTTAATATATAATTATCAAATAAACTAATTAAATAATTTTATATTTATGTATCATATAACTTAAACTAACAATAATATAACTTAAACTAACAAACTAATTAACTAAAATTTTGTTTTACCTTAAACCAAAAACTAACAAACTAATAATTTAAAATAATAAACTAATTTAATTAATTAAAAAACTTACCTCAATGTTGTGCTCTCCCTTTCTTCTTCTTCCTCTTTTCCCTTGCTCTCTTCTCCCATTCTTTCTTTTATGTTTCACTCATTAACCCATCCAATATATAATATAACTACCCATCCCGTCTGCTTCAATTATATCACCCTCAAATTGTCATTCACGTGAGCTGAACGACTGCAATAATGCAGCAATAAGTGCTGCAATAATGCAGTTGAATTCACGCTGCATGGGCGCAGCGGGAGGGGACAGTCGTGCAGAGGCGAGTAGCAGCCATGAACGTTGGCGACCTATCCCATGTGAAGTGTTGTCTATGCAAAACATGCATGTCGCTCGGATGCCCTGACGGCCTACCATGTCGCTGGGATGCCATGGCGTCCTACAATGTCGCTGGGATGCCCTGGCGACCTATCCATTCACGTGCATGGCTCATGCAAACCCCATACAGGTCGCTCGGATGCCATAGTGACCTCCAAGCTCACCCGGATGCCATGGCAACCTACAACTGCACTGTAGAATTCACCCTATTTGAACAACTAATCTTGCGAGAGTATTATCTCGTGAAATAAAAAGTTTGAAAACATTATCTCGGAGAATTTGCCTGGCTTTTAGTTATATCATCTGTCAATATACTTGATTTTGTAATTATATGGAGAATTTACAAAAGTGTTTCACTCTAGAAAAGTGTGCACGTGCACTGCTCATAACAAGTGCCAATTTGATAATATATATAAAAGAATTTAACATAATTTATTATTATATTAATTTAGAGGGTTATAAGATAATAGATATTATAAAGATTTTTTTTTCATAATTTGACAATTAAAGGTTAAAAATCTTTACAATTTTTAGTACTCGGACCTAAGACTTTTAGAATTAACAACTATCATTTAATCTGAAAAAAGCTTAATTCGTGCAACACAATTTTCTTTTAAATAAGATTTCATTTGTTAAAGTATTCTATCTTTTGAAAATAAAAATTTTGATTATAATAAAAAAGATGATAGTTGTGAATATTGATTAAGTTTTATTTTTTAAATTTAAAAAAATTGTTGATTAGGATAGCTAATTCAAAATAAATAAGGGTAAATATATAAACAATATACCGACTATAAGGTGCTACTTCATTAAATCTCCCGACTATTAAAAATTTAAAAATAGTCATATGACTATTTATATGTTCCAAACTCATAATTTTTCATTAAAAACTTGACGGTCGTATGATCTGGATATTAATCCGCTGACTGAGATATGATAAAATCATATTTTAATGATGTATATTGGCACTGTTACTGCTTTCAAGCAATGACTCAATGACATAATATTTCGAGAAGTGGTTCGAATGACATAATGTAAACAGAGACTTAATTTACAAAATACAACTCAAATAATTAATGGATCATATTTTTATGATATCCCAGTGAATATGTTAACATCAAGCTCAAGTGATTTCTCATTTGTTAACAGAAAAAGATGAATTTGGAACATATACATAATTGGATGACTATTTTATTAACTTTTAATAGTCGATGATTCAACAAATCAATGTCTTATAATCGGATGGTCATTTTGTAACTTTTAATAGTTGAAGTACTCAACATCATTCTATAGTTGAGAAATCGTTTGTGTTCTTTATCGATTAAATAATAAGTATAACGTAAACTATTATAAATCTTCAAGCCAGTTTCTTGATGTTAAGCCACTTTAATTTATATTCCACTATAGAAAAAAGATGTTAAGAGTATTATGTTTAAATGCAAAGTGGAAAATTGATGCAATAAGTGGAGAAAATATATTGGAATTTGAAAGCCATCAAATCCTATAAATATCCCTTGTTTTAAAAGAGATTAAATTTTATTACGCCTGAATTTGATAATCAGATTTATTTATTGTATTTAATTTAAAAAAAATAATGTAGAGATAAAGTTATCTAGATGCGTGTGGTAGAAGTGAGATGCCCTAGTTTCTTAGGACATTGCAATTCAAAGTCCACGTGATTTCACGTTTGGCGTCATCGGTGATTACCATGCGAAGGGCCACTTAAGTTATGTACATTGTGGAAAAGCATGGGAATAGTCATTGGCATTCATAATTAGTTGGTAAATAAAGTAGTGGTCGAGTCTTCGCTTGCTGCTGGAATTTGAACGTTATTGTGGGGTTGTTAAGGGAGCATACTGTTACTTATTCAAAGGATACATTAAATTCATTCATACAAGTCTGAAATTAGGAATCCAATAAGAAGAATTTATTGAATGACTTCCGTCGGTTTTAATGATTGAAAGGAGTGTTGTTATTCCTTAATATCTTTGGTTCGAGCAATTACATCTACAGAGAGTGCGTGCGTTGTCCATGATTGAAAAAGATTATGAATATATACTATCTTATAATCACTTCGTACCATTAATTTTTTTTTTGAATAATAGAATGTTGTTAAATGGAAATTTGGTATCAAACTTTCATCATTTCCGTAATTAAGTCAACAATAATATTTAAATTAATTGTAATCCTCTCAAAATATAAAATAGAATTAAAACTCAACAGACAATCAACAAAATTAAGGATTATACCATGAGAGTATAATATAATTTAAAAATTAAAACATTTATGCACAATTATTTATTAAATCGTTGTTAAAGAAACTTAGAAATACCGGAAATCGAAATCCCCATAACAATATTATTCTTATATAAAATTAAATATCTAATTCTAGTCTCATTCCTTCTATTAAGTTAAATTTTAGGATTTAATTTTCTGCATAACATAATCCCACCTCACTATTTTATAATAATTATTATATTCAAATTAATTTATAACACCGTCAATTGTTATTGTTAAAATAATAAAATATTTTTAAAAAAATAACTTTGAAGGGGTGGTTTAATTCACATAATATTATATTACCAAGTTATATTATCGGAAAATGTAAAATTATTTGAGAATTCTTTTCATATGTATAAGATGATTTTGTTTAATTAATGAAACATAAGATTATCTAAGGACACTTTATACCAATTATCCATGTAATAAGTCATTTTTAATCATGTTAACCTTTAATATTAAATTGAAAAATATTGATGTAACTTTTTTTCATTAAACTTCACCTAAATTTCAGATTTAGATATTTTATTAATTTAATTAACATATTAAATAACCTTTTAAAAACAATTTACAAATTATTTAATATAACTTAACACTGGAAGAATGCTAGAATGCCTGGGTTTTTATTCTGGGTGTGCAAAATTACCCGACCCACCGACCCGGACTTTAAAAACCGGGTAATTTTCTAAAAAAATTACCCAACCAGGTCGAATACCTGGCCTGACATTTCCCGAATCAGGTTCGGATCACAATCTAATTTTTTCGGATACCTAAGTACCCAATTAGTTTTTATTTATATATATATATATATAATATAATAGATTATTTATATTATAGATTATTAGATTTTGTATTTCGATCTTTTAAATTTTATGTTCGGATATTAAGGTATGTAATTCGAAGTTTTGAACATTTAAATTTGTGTATATTTTTAAAATTAATAGTTTGAAACTGAAAAAAAACGGGTACCCGTAAAATCCGGATATCCGGTTCGGGACACGGGCCGAGAAATCACCGACCCTAATGTTGCCAGTACCCGAAAATCCGGGTACCGGATTTGCACACCCCTACACTCGGGCATGCATCTTGCAATAATGAAGACAATAATAAGAATGCAATAAAAATGATAAAATGCAAGCTTCATAAGTCGACACACTTCAAAGTGCTGGGAACAAAAGAAAACAACAGGGTTTTAAAAATAGTTCGCGACCGTGATTTCGGCCGCGATATAGTAGTTTCGCCGCTGTCCGAGTTACCCACGACGGGCGCAATAGCGCCCGCGACGGCCGCAATCACGGTAAATCTAAAATAACTGAAAACGCGATCACGATTTGAAACCTGAAAAACAGTGACAAAATGGGATGGGAACAGCCTTATCTGTATTCGAATGATGGGACGGGAGGAGCGTCGAAGCTGTCCAAAACCTCGGTTTTACTTCCGCTACCTGTTGCTGGTTCCTGCTTTCCACCAAAAAGTCCTCCGAACCACGAAGAGAAAGAGTTAGACGAGGACGATGACGTCGATGGTGGTGGCGGCGGCGGAGATGAATCGTGTCTAAAACTATCAATTGATGCAGGGGGTTGGTTTGGCAATTGTCCCATCGGATATCTGGGCATTCCGCCTACACTGGGAGCTGGCTCATCGATCATAATAGGCATCTGTGGTTGACTGAGAACTTTATTCAACATGATACCAGCCCCTTCAATCAAGGCAAGCAACACGCCGCCGAAAATTGCTGATCTGGAAGCAGCAACGGGCCCTTGACGCATTGAAAGAAACCCTCCAGTTGCAGCCCCGGCTATAATGGAGTTCCAAGGATCTTCTTTCTGTCGGAGGTACACCATAGTGCAATCGAATGTGGAAAATAGGCCGCCCCAAACAGCAAAACTACCTCCGACACGAGGAGCATTCATACGCACTGCTTGAGTTCCACCGATCAACCGAGCACCACTAGGAGAGTTATATGTCCCTTTCAAGAAGTGGAAGGCTGCACCTCCAACAGCACCCATACCAAAGGCACCACCAATATCGTCAAGAATTCGATCAGGGCATGGCTCCCGCGAAGTTTCCGGGGTTCCCATGGTTCACAATATAGTGCCTTTTCTATTCAAAACAACCTCTCAAAGTTAGAAGTTCCCTACAGAATTCACCAGTTCAATTTTTTTTCTCAAATTTCCACAAACAAGAAAAACCCAAACAACAAGATGAATAAACAGCTAATCTAGTTCAATTGCAACAAACAAACAGTATAAAATCAAACAAAATTCAACATAGGAAGGCATACAACTCAATAAATTAAAAAGTTTCATGGAGACGAATTCAAATATAAGATCATCACTAGCTAATATCAGGTAACAGGATCAAAGCTATAACACTAAGACACAGGAACAAGAACAGATGAAACCCTAGAAAAATTGTAACTTCCGGAAGGTAAACAATCAGTTTCTAATATAACCCAGAAAATATTTAGGAAAAGGAAAAGCGAAGGCAATGAATTTATAGTTCTGTATGAATGAAACCATCGATTTCTCTTTTTGCCTCGGCGGCGATCTGCAACCAGACTGTGGGGTCTGGAGAAGAAGAAGGGGATTCGATTACGTAAAAGTTTATTATTTCTGAGACAAAGAAAGACGAAAGAGGCAAAGAAACATCAAGCTAGCCCTTTCGGGAAAGCAAATAAATTGGGGGTTTGGGGTACTGGGTTGGATTTCTCTTTGATTTAAATGGGCTCCATTAGTGGCCTTTGAGTTTGAGTTTTTATGTCGGTGTTAGCTTTAGAGGCTTCTCGTTCTCGACCTATTTTATTTTAGGTAAAATTCTTCTATTAATATTTATATTATACATAATTTTAAATTAAATTTTTATATTTTAATTTAATTATTTTTAATCCTTATATTTTTAAAAAAATTATTTTTGGAAATGCAAAAGCAGATGTTGATTTTATCCTAAGGCTTTAGGCACACAGATATGGCACAGTCCAACAAAAACTGTCTTGTTCATTTTTTCTGATAATGCAAATTTTACGCTGACATTTATACATCATTAAATGCATAAAAGTTATATCTTATATATATTCTTTCAGTGTATGATGAGGATAGACCGAGGCAGGCACAAACGCAGGAATTTATGTCAAGAGATTCGAATTTAAGAAATTATATTAAAAATATAGGTGATACGAAATTATAAAACTTTAGGGGTGTAAAATTAGATAATCCACATAAAATATAAGAAAAATAATTAAAATATAAGAGGTTTTAAAATTTCTAGAGGATGCGGCCGCACCTCAGCACCCCCTCGATCCATCCCTGATCGAGGAGTGTTGGAACGCAATCGTATTTTCTAGAAATTTTAAATCTCTTTGTATTTTAGGTATTCTTTTTGTATTTTATATAAAATATCTAATTTTGCACCCTCTGAAATTTTATAATTTTACACCCTTAAATCTTTAATATAATTTCCTAAACTCACAACCCTAACATAAATTCATGTCTCCTTCCCTATATATAATATATTATGGACTTTGAACATTTATCTTTAATCTAGTTAGCTTGTCCATAATCTTTGGCAATAACAATCGAGTAATATTTAAAAGTTCTAATCGAAGTTATCAAGTGGTTTTAGTGATAAAAAAAGATGATATTCTCCTTAAAGGTCCTCAATTCAAATAGTTGTATTTATAAAATTTGTATAAATATCTATATAAGTTAATAAATATTTGAATATATATATTATAATCTTTTCGAACTTTCGTAAAAAGAAAAGTGAAAATCAAAATACTTTCCATCCCAAAGGAATGGGATCCATTCAAAAGAACAAAGAAAAACACCATGTGTTGTATCCATATATCTTGTAAACCATTCACTACAAGTTGTCTGTATAAACAGTACAAGAAAGATTTTTCCGCCGCTATACCACTTATCTTTTCATGTGTTCAAATATCTCATCCGAAGCATTTTGATATTTGATAATTATATTAAATTATGAGTTGAATAAAGTCTAACCTCTGAATAAAAGATGAACTCTTTCAATACGACATAAACAGAAAACAAACTCATCCAACATTAGCTTTCTCACCTACAAAATTTAAAACCCAGACTTTATTTTGAGAGAGTATAAATATTTTCCTTTTGCGCTCATCATCTGATAGTGGCTGTGGAACCCTAACATTTGCAATTCCCAACTTCGCTTTAAGAGAGACTTTTTCGACCCTCCTTTCTCTTCTCTTTATCCATTGATCTCTATACAAATTTTTAACATGTTTATATATTTGTATCCAGTTTAGGGTTTGAAAATACGCTGACTAAAACAACAGGATCAAAAGCTGTAGGGAATAAGAAAGTGCGATATTATTGTCCCATTATTGATAACATTTAGATATTCAAGAGACTTGTTTATCTGCATTGACAGGGCATGCAACTCATGCCGTTTGAGAAACTGCAGCTTGTCCCACCATCTGAATAAGATTCCACAAAAAGCAATATTTGAAACGAATTTTAGTACTAAATTAATTACACGTTATACTATAATGGAAATGGAATGGATCAGAAATGTGAGACCTGAAGATAAACTTCCAGCTTCCTCCTTAAGATTGCGTACTCTTGCTTCACTTGTTGAAAACTCCTAATGCAGCTGTAAAATCATGACATCGATTTCACTTTAGTCCCCCTATTATATATCACGGGTTATATTTTTCTAGATTCTTCGGAGTTATTTATGTTCAACACATATCCAAATATAAATATATTAGTATAATATTGATACTCAGCGTGACCAACTGCCGATTGGGAGCAAACCACCTGACACTTGCCAGAAAAAACTCAAGCAACCAAAGGGCACTGATACAATTTCACTTCACGGCACACCCCAAAAAAAGAAAGAGCTTCGCTCGGTGGGCCTTCCTACGCTGACGAATGCCTCCTTTCTCTTCTCTGAAGTCTACAACAAACAAGTGGGAGAGGCAGGATTCGAACCTACGTAGAAAAACTTCAACAGATTTACAGTCTGTCGCTTTTGACCACTCGGCTAATCTCCCCTTCCCGGGCCGAGGCCCCCCTCAATGGGTTCTAAGAAGGAGGGCGCGACGGAGACATGATTTTATGCCAAATGGGTGAAAATAAATTATTAATAGAAAATATAAAAAAAATACTTAAATTATATGAGAATTTAAAAATTTTATGAGATGCCCGCCAACCTCCTTTCGGTCCATCTCTGACAACAGGCTGAACAAACTGGGCTGACCAGAATACCATTATGTTTAGTCGGGCAGCCTGCGAGCATGCACCGAGTAGTCTTTTGGGCAAGCCGAAGACTAGGTATGAATAAACCAAGTACGACCCCTATACTCCTTTACTTAAAGCTCTTGCTTCTTTATTCCTCCTATACCTCTTAGCCCAGGTTAATTTCACAGGAACCTAACCTTTCCGAACCCAACTCACCTTCCTCGAGGAATAGTGTCAAACCCAAACTACCACCAAAAAGAATCAGCAAATAGATTGACGAGTCTTTTGATATATGTGCTAATGGAGTTAATTGATGAAAGGTACAGGAAGTAGACAAGAAACTTACCCTTCAGCATTTTCTGCACTGCAGTATTCTCTGAAAACAGTGCATTCATTCGTTACCTTTTTAGCTCCAATGCTTCAAGAAAATTGCCAAAATAATTCAGGTAACTCGGATAAAGAATATTAACATCAACTCAAGTTTTTTCCCCCTTTTCGTTTTAAAATAATATCGGTTTCTTAGGGTTAATTACCTAGAGCTGCTTCCCTTGAATTGGTGCATGTAATCATCCAGTTTATTAAAGTCAATAGGCCTACTGTTCCTGCATACATGGATTAATCATGTGAGGAAAACTATAATTTGCAATTTATATTCGTGACATAGTAATCTTAACCACGTTGATGATTAATAATGAGGATATATGTTGTTGTTCCCCTTACAGTGCATGTTCGATGTTCTGAATTAACCTTGCCGAATCAGTGTAAAATAGTGTGACAATTTCTTGTACAAAATTGGGGTTGGCATCATCTTGTAACTCCTCCAGCTGGATGAATGGCTCGTCTAGATAACCCTACAAACAAAGGTTCAAGTAGCAAATTTTACTTGATTTGGTAATGAAAGTAAATAAGTAATTTCCAAATAGAGGAAGTTTAGAAAAAGTTGGTTGCTTTTTGTATTTTTAATATACCTATATATTTGATACACTGCTAGTGAATATTTAGATAAAACAATATCAATAAAAATTAAAATACAGAAGTAACCTCTAAGGTGTTATAAATTTTTACACAATTAAGTATCCAAAAAGAAATAGTATTTTTTTAATTCCACGTATGAACTAGTGTATCTATTTTATTTATTTACTTTTTTAAATATTCATTCTCGACACATATACTTAACTATCAACAAATATATTGAATAAAGTGGTAAGAAATATTGCACTTTTAAGCAAATAACTTAGATTTGAACATTAAAAAAGATATTATTAAGCGATAATTTCGAATTCTGAATATGAACAAATAAAATAATTTGAATTCATGTGCATATATTGAGAGAGACCTGATCAAAGAGGGACTTCCTCATGCAGGCAACTTGGTGTTGCAAGCGATTCCTATTCATGTTTTTTCTTTGTAAACACAATAGGGGGAAAATATCTGATATGCCAATGATTGGTAGCTCAAGGCCATGTCCATGCCTTGGTATTTATAGTATATTGCTACTCCCTTTTTGTAAAGAAAAAGAGGAAGAATAATTGGCCAAAAATGAAAAAAAAAAAGGAGAATCAAAGGAGATGTTTACATGTCAAACGATTATCAAATTGGTATATACATTTAGATTTTTATTTCCTATACTAAAATAAGAATTTTTTATGAAATAGAGATTTTATATTTTGTACTATAATCATATAGAAAAAGTTATTTCATTTTTACTATACCAACCGGACTAACCCTTGAGGGCAACGCTATTTAGATATGAATTATAATAGAATTGTGTAAATTATATTCTATCTTCCTACAAGAATGTGACCACTTGCAAAACAAAACACGAGCGAGAAAGTTAATTTTGACAATTTCCCCCCTTATATTCTTTATAAATTGACAACTCCTACTAAAGCTAAACACCTTTTGATATAGGGGGCGTGGCTAACCATGTCGCCATTATATTCAATTCCAGCTGTCGAACATCGCTGGAAAAACCTTCCCCAAAGGTTTCATTATAGGAGAAAATATATCAAGTCCCGTAATAGAATTTGAGATTTAATCTTTATATTTAAAAAGCTAAAAGAGATCTCATAAAACAATCTCGATAATAAAAAAGAGTGTTGTTCTCTTCAAAAGTCTCGAATTCAAGCAACTACGTCTGTAAATGTGTGTACATTTATTATTAATTGATGAAAAACACTAACGGTATTAACGATTTGATTAGAAATTTTAAATTGAAAAATAGGAAAATTCATTTTTCAACTTGAAGTATAGAGATTAAATCTCTTTTTTTGGGTCAAAATATAAGGGTTAGCGACATATTCTGACCTATAATATAACATGTCCACCGTCGAAAAACCAATACCAGATTCTGTAAGACACAAGGAATTTATTAGGACTTACAAGCCATTGGTTAGAAGCATTAAGCATCCTCCGACCCATCGGTCAAATTACATAAACCAATTGCATATTGCTCCATCAAATAATCTGAGGAACACAAGGTCAATTATTCGAACTATTCAATAAACTAAGCATCTAGGTATGCACTCAAAAAACTATAACTCTTAGGAAGTACTCAAAGCTCCAAATAATCCCATTATTACTATAAGTTCAAAGCTCGAAACATGGAAACGCATGGCAGTTCCTAACATTTAGGCGCTAAAGTATAATATGCTAATAATTCGTGTCACTAATCGAAAAGGTTACTCTTAATCTCTATAAATTTTATGGGGACTGGTTCAGATAAATCTTTCAGAATGAGCTAAATTTACAGTCAGGTAGATAATACTATAGAAAGATTAATCGATATTGACTGAGCAACCCTATGCAGCCTGCAATATGTTTACAAATGTTACAGAAGCAAGGTCATTTGCTGATCAATAACAGGAAAGCCTTCAACAAATCTTTAGTCTCTGCATGGTTGCCGTTACAAATACTACAGTTTCCTATAAGCATAAAGCACCTAGGCAATGAGATTGTATTACCAAAACTCTGATTTCCTAAAACCTTGGCGTAAGTTTGTTTTAACAGAAATAGGATTGTTCTAAATGGAAAGGCTTGTAACAAGAGAAAATGAGAATGCCAAAAGGATGCAGAAAGGATCATGATTCATGCAGCAACCAAAACAGGGAAATAGAAAGACCGACATTATGTTAATGATTGGAATGAGAACATTACATTTACAGTGAGTAGACAGTGGTCCTTGTCTTGTATCTCTGTCCATCCGTCCCGTGAAACTGTCAGCAAAAAGTTAAAGAAGAGTCTCCTTTATTCCTTTGCCACCCATTGAAGAGATAGTGGGAAAGCAAGAGGGTAGAAGGGTATTTTACATGGCCATTTTCCTCTGAGTCTCCCTCAGACAGTCTTTTATAGATGCTTGATCACATCTTCTCCTTTGTTAAAGAAAATGCTGAGGATACGTGGAATTGGATGAGAATATAGATTGTTGATTTTGACTTTTACTGGGAGGATCAATATTCGCTCTTCTATCATCTTCTCCTATGCTGATAAGAATCCCACCATGGACATGATAAACACTACATGCAATGACAGGTTTGCATCGAGCAAGGATGGAGCTTCCAAGGCACACTTCTCAAAAACCCAAATTCTAAAGTTTCTGAACTTAGCCAAGCCTTAAATCTAAACTAGTTCTGATAAGCTAGATGAACCAGTATATATTTAATCCCCATTCAAATCATTTAGGGGAAATATACTTGGAACGACTCGGGAAACTTTAGAGGGTACCTTTCTAAGTTGTCTAACCAAAGGATACAATATACCTTATAAGTATAGTAAGTCCATTCAGAAAAAAGAAAAAAAAACACTTAATTGCAGCAATCACTTGAAACGACAAATCATCTCGATGGAAAAAAACATGCTTGTTTTGCACTAAATAATCAATGGGAACTTAACCAGCAGTCCAGCCAGTAATCTGTTTCATCAGCTGAAGCCTGAAAAGGATTTCTCAATAATAGAAGAAAAATGACAATTTATAGAAGATTGGTATTTGTTCCCACGCAAAAAGAGTTTAAATTTTAATTAGGCTCATTGTGTTTTATACAAATAAAATTGTCTTGGGAAAAAAACAATAAAGCCCCAACTTTAAAGAACAGTAAGGGATATAAATAGCACCTGTCTGGAAAGGAGAGGTAGAGGAAACTCCATCAAACAATTTGTGGGCCTCCAAAAAAAGTAACCTTTTCACTCATTTAGAACATTTCAACGGGTATGTACTCCAAAAATATGGTGGGCGATGATGAATCGTATAAAAGTCACATTAAGGTTTGTATACAAATCATTTTACTCATCTTTGCAAGAATCCCATTGCCTGGTAGACATTGCTAAGAGTAGCATCAGCTAAAGCTGCAGCTTTAGTAGCCCCCTCTGCCAAGACTCCGTCCAAATAAGTTGGATCAGAAATAATATCCTCATAACGAACCTGCAAAAGTTGAAAACCTCACTAATGATGGGGGCACCTCAGTGGATGATAAACCAATAGCATCAACCAAATGATTGGGCCAAATGTGATCAAGACATTGGCTGGAAACAGCTTCATACACATCAAGCAAAAAAAATCTCCATATATATAGAAATTATTTATGAAAAGGACCACATCTGTCACAAAAGTCAAACATGGAATCTAATCAAAACATTGGCATCATATTGGCACCAATCAACGCTAAACAGCAACCTGGTATAACTAGATTTTATGTTTGTTAGACTGCCGAGACTAAAGTAGTCAGTTTCATAACAATTGCCAGTAATCATTTAATGAAATGTTTGACTTCTAAGGTTGACCAGATAGCCAGAACACACTAGACCTCATACATCAAGAAGGCTTCTATTGCTAAATTGCAGTGATTTGAAAACAAAAGTAATTAGTAAAAAACATCCATAAATATAAATTTCGTCCCCCAAAACACATGAAATGTTACAGTTAGAATCATTTGTAAGCCAGCATTTGATTTAACATGATTAATCTTAAGTTGGAACACATTTCTGGGATGATGTATTAATACAGAAATAAACATCTAAAGTCCCTTGGGGCAATAACACGCCTAATCAAAAGAGAAAAGAGGGTAATAAAATAGCATGTATATGCCCCTATCATGCGCAAATAATGCTGCATATAGTGATTAGAACCTGGATAGGATGCAAATGATCAATCAATGCATCTGTCAGGAGGGTTTTAAATGTGCTCCAGTTCATATCCTGGCATTCCCGTGCAACTTCCTGAAATAAGGATAAAAACATAAGACAATTATCTGGTGTTGAATATCTCCTAATCTATCTAGCCTCAGATTGATGATCCTACAATTTCTTCTATCACACAGCAATTTTAATAATCAATAAGAATTTAAAATGCAAAGTTCAATATTGCACAAAAATTTTACTAGATTTGAAAGGAGAGAATAAATATTTGTTTATTAAAGCATTTCAGACCCATGGGTGAATACTAAATCCAAGATACTCTAAGCAGAGCACATCCTCTGGCACATTTTATTGATGCAAAATTGTAACCAGATAAGACTAGATCAAATGTTCAGTAGTTTGGTGCTAGGCTGTTAGCTTAGACCAAAGTACTTGTATTTGGATGAGATTAGCATATGACTGACTCGTCTCTGAAAGACAAGAACTAAAAGTTTTTTCTCCCTTTTTTTATTTTTAAGTCATACACAGAGTACTAAAAAACTCAACAAACACCAAATTTTCAAACCTCTTTCATCTTACTTGATATTAGCTGATATATCGTAAGAAGATTGTTGCATTCGGGACGTTCAGGATTGTCAAACTCCAGGCTATAATAATTGCCAGAAGAAAGACAAACAAGACGATAAGTTAGAAAACTTCATATCAGATGCTATTTTCTTAGAAAGAAATATGTAAAGAAGAAAACAAAACTGGAAATAGGAAGGGAATTTCAAATTATCTGGATAGACTAGGAAGTAGGAACTAACCCTGAAAATGCATCAGTCTTGCAATGCTTTATCTTGTTTGCTATCACCTACCACCAAAATAAAAAGGAAATTAATTTTGATCGAATTGAAATATGGGTAAAAACAGAACCTTAAAATCAGCTAAGCTCCATAACCTTTTCATGGCATCAATAGTTAAGTGCAATAAGTCATATTCATATATGAGCATGTAATCCTTAATTAAAAAGCTAGAATCAACCTTATTAGATAAACTTAACTATCCTCCCACTCCAAAAAAATAAAAAAAATAAAGAACTCTGTAAAATGGTTCAGAGGAACCCTTTGCATCCCCCAACCCCAAACACTGTAATTCAAAATTAGCGTTTGAATCCCAAGTCAGGTTAAATTCCTATGATATCAACGACTACATGCAAATTTCTATGCATAAATACTAAATTTAACTTCAGTATGCATGTATTAATAAAACCTTCTATAATTTTCAAACAAACACATACAGACAAGGAAGAAAAGTTCATTAAACCACTCACATCCTTGGGATCAAGAAGATTGATTCGAGACTGATCGGAAGGTGCAGATTTCGACATCTATAAGATTGAACTCCAGAAATAAATCATTCAGAGTCAAATATATATATATATATCATTTCAGAAAACAGACAAATAGGTTATAAAGTTCCCTCAGCTATTACTCATTTCCTCTTTACTGATCATAGAGTGAGAACTAAAAGATGCATAAAGGTTGAAAGGTGACATCATATTTCCTATTATCTTCCACTCTGTAAAAGGACATAAAATTTTATTATATCTTGATGATAATTATAGGTTCAAGAGTGAGGATCAAACATCTGCAGTTACAAATTGTGAAGCTTTGCCAAAGACAATTCAAATAATGAGATGATTACTTCTATCACCAACTACGTTAAAGGTTGAAGAAAACATTCTTAACACCCTCAGTAAGCAACGTAAATAAAAAAATAGGAAATATGTGTCTTACGCTAATTGAATAAGTGACAAAAAAAGTTAAAATCAGGGAGAACACTGAAGCCATTTAAGACTATTTGGTCTATCTGTGCTAGATTATAATGATAGTTTAAGACTTAACCATTAGACTAAGATGGTATTAACTGAGAATAATAGAACCATAGAAATAAAAATGCAGAAGATAAACTCAATTCTTAAAGTCCTAAGAGTTCCCAATGTGATTATCTGCAAGAAATTCCCCAAAGAGGAAATTGCACCATATAGAGGTGGGAAGGTCAGGCACTCTTATATTCATCTACCAGCAGCAAGTTTAACTTATTAGAATATATATTACAAGAAACCTTTGAAAGACCATCAGTGAGTGACATCACTCGTGCTCCAGCTGGCGGTATTAGGGGCTCAGGAACCTACAAAAGGGGACAAACTTAAATAAGAACCTTCCATAAGTTTTGATGGTTCATGAGCTTCTATGCAAGGTCTAAACCAAGTGTTCGCACAGAAACATCATCTTAAAAATAGCACCACCACGCCTGTGACCAAATAAAATATTAGAAGGATTCAAAACTTTAGCGATGATAGTGTACATCAATCGGAAGTGAATAACAGATATGATGATGACTCAATTACTTGAATCAGTATTTTAAAATGTAATTGGTTCTCACCCTCCCAACTTTTTCCACTTCCTTCCTCCATATAAATAGTTAACACGCTCAGCTAACTCATGAGTCAACTCTAAATGCTGCTTCTGATCTTCACCAACCGGAACTAAATCAGACCGCAGAAGCAGGCTGCAATTGCGTAAGAGTCATGCATCTTCAGGGCACTTATTCAGATAAGATACTCAAAGGCTATCAGGCATGCTCAAATAAAGGATAAAATTAATGTTTCCAAAACCACCTGATACAAAAGAATATCAGAAGACATCAGAGCAGGGTAGGTCAATAGAGCAGCTCCCACATTTTCGTCTCCCTGCAAAACATAATGGAGGAATGCAATTAATCCAAACAGACAAAAAAACAAACATAAACTTGATAAGAGAAATAAGAATGAATTAATGAATCTTAAATTAATGACTCTTAACAGAAAAAATTAGCAATCCTCTGTTCCCCTCATATTGGAAAAACATCTACATGAATGTTACAAGTCCTACAAACTTTCTTTGTTGGGATACAATATAAATTGTAAAATCACCACAAGTAGAAGGATTCCTGTAGCTAAACTATTTCTGCATCATTGAGACTGATTCCTACATATTCACATCACCTGAGCATACCGGGTGTTGCTCAATGATGATTAGGCTAAAGAAGTTTATCAGGTGCCAGTCGAACTCTTTTCCAAATGTTGGCATTTAATAATTACATCTAAAGCACTCCCACTTTGACTGATCCAACCACACAGGGACAAAAACTCCACTTATAAGAGGTTATGGGGAAGAATCAAAAGAAAGTTAAAGCTAATAATTTTAGTTATAATAAATCAATAACAAGTAAAGGAGATGGAGCTGTAATACAGCTATAAACGCACCGCCTTGCGAGATTTCTCTTTAAACTGAATCATTCTATTTAGCCAACCAATTGGTGTGGCAGAACTCAGTAACCACATTAATTCTACATGAGCACGAACATGTGACTGCACAAAGACAGAAGCCTGCATGACAAAAAAAATCAAAGATCCAGTGAAATTGCTCGAAAAAAAATCATAAAGAACAAAATGTGGAAGCAAACCTTTGAGGTGTCCACACCACATGCCAAATAAATAGCTGCTGTGTTCCGTGTTGCTTTTGATAATTGTTGTGTATCATATGGTAGTGTAATCTGCACAGAGAAAAATGAATCAATTGAAAATAGCTTATTTGTCATCCAGGATCAAGGAAATCTTTCTTTCATAATGCAGCCCAACATACAAGATGATTGCAATTTGCAAGACAATAATATCAATGAGAAATTTGCAAATAGATGATATTTCAACCATACCGCATGGAGGTCCACAATGAAAAAGAGTGTGTCATATGTGTTCTGCAAAACAAAACCATATTAAGAAACAATTAATCATTCAAAAACTTAAATGTAACATTAAAGTATCCTTTTAAGTATCAAAATAACAAGGACGGCCACTAGTTGGTTAATTTAATTCTATGCTCATTCAAATACAGAAATTGACGGCACTGAATAGTTTAGGTTCAAGCATCATCTAGAACCTGTAATGAAACCAAACCTTGGGGTTATTTTCAAAGTCTCAAGGATAATGAGTAAATAGAGAAGAATAGAAAAAAGAAAAAGAAAAGATAGCACACTTCAGTTTCACAATGAATATCTATAAAAGTACACCACTCAAGGACAAACATCAGTGCTCACACTAACTTCAAAAGTGACTAAAGTTGATAGGAAAGAAAACAAAAATTTATTCCGTAACTTCATCGGAAGTAGCTATTTTTCTGATTTCATAAAACCATATTATTCACATCACTTAACATTATTGACCTTGAGAATATAGGAAAGAAAGTCAGTAGAAACTGAAGCGCAATCCAATTCTTTATGGCACCAAGATAATTCCCAAGGTGGATAGCTCCAGTTGGCTGGACTCCAGACACTATCCTCTTCCTGCGGGCAATTCAATATGCTTACAAAACCATGTTTATGCTTTAGGAATTAACATAAGGTAATAAAAAATTAAGGTCAATTGAATCAATAATTCATTTAGTCTGGAATGCAATAAACAGTTTTTATTTTTCAAAATTCATCAAATCATATGTGAGAAAATATTCCTTAAAATTCATTCTCTAATGCATTTAATTCAACTTTAATTTGGTTCCAAACAGGCGATAAGCAAAGTTATTCTAGTTTACTAATAGATTCTGACATTTCAACAAGCCATTTTAACAATTAAAAACAAGTTTATATTTACCATTGCATTGCTTTGGGAATTAAAATAATGAAATAAAAGAGTGAAGTCATTTGGAATCTATAATTCGCTTAGTCTGGATGCAATAAACATTTTTTTAAATAGATAAAATCATATATGAGCAAATCTTCCTTAAAATTCACTCTATAATGCAATGGAATTAACTTTAATTTGTTCCAAGCAGGCTGTAATCAAAAGTTACACTAGATTAGCAATAAAATTCTGGCTTTTTAACAATTCAGTACAAGTTTATATTTTCCATCGCATTGCTTTTGGGAATTAAAGTAAGAAACAAAAAGTTAACGTCATTTGAAATTTGTAGTTCGCTTAGTATCTTAAAACAGATACAGTCATATGTGAGAGAAAAAATCTTCCTTAAATCCATTCTTCAATAAAACTAAACTTTAATTTGGTTCCAAACAGACCATAAGCAAAAGTTATTACAAATTAGCAAATCACACTCCAGCTTTTTAACAATTAAGAACAAGTTCAAAGTTCATTCAATGATGAAGTTCATTCTCTAATGAATCAATTAAACTTTAATCTGGTTCCAAACAGGCCATAAGCAAAGTTATTCCAGATTAGCGATCAGATTCTGGCCATTTGAAATCTATAATTCGCTAAGTCTGGAATGCAATAAAACGTTTGTTTTTAAAATATCCATAAAATCATGTGAGCAAATCTTCCATAAAATTCACTTTCTAATGCAATGAATTCAACTTTAATATAGGTTGGCAATCGCATTCTGGCTTTTCAACAATTCAAACAAGCTTATATTTACCATTACATTGACGATAAAACAAAATACTAATTCCTAAAGTTTCATTTCATTAACTCCATTAGAAATAAGATGAGGAAAGAAGTATACAAAAATAGATTACCTGACCGAGCTGGAAGAAGTCTGGGGAATAGCTGGATGCGAGAGCGAGACAGTGCAGCAGCAACGGAAACCAGCGCCATTGTCTCCATTTGTCGCACGGTTATTACGGATGAATCCAGACCGCTTCAAGTATTTACTTCCAAGCCCACCACAAGACCTGATTTAGTACAAACGCCAAACAATAATGTAAACATGAGAAAATAAAAAAAAAAGACCACGGATCTAATCATGGAGAGAAGAAAAGAGTACATACACTGAGGATGAGAGGCATGGAGGTGAATTGGAAAGGATGAGAAATTGAGAGAGAACTGAACGCCCCATTTTTTTTTCGTTTTTTTAATTGTTTTGGGAAAAGGATTTATCCAGCAAAAACGAGCGTGAACCCAAACCGCGAGATGAGAGCTGTGTGAAGAGCCGTTCAGTTTCGTGCTGTTTCTTTGACGGCCTTAGGTTTGGCTAAAAGTACATTTTGGAATGTGAATTTGGCTTTAAATAGCAATTTAGTACTTAAACATTTTAAGGTATAATTAGGTACTTGAATTTCACTTTTATATTCAAATTAGTATTTAAAGTTGAATTTATAATTAAAATAATTTTTTGTAAGCACCAATTTAGACCAAAAAATGAAGTTCAATTATCAATTTAGTACTTGATTTTTTTAGGTCTAATTAGACATCTGAATTTCACTTTTAGATTTAAATTCTAATTTAAATTAGTATTTGAATTTGATTTTGTAGTTAAAATAATCCATTTAGTGTAAATAACAATTTAGAACAAATAGTGAAGTCAAGTATCAATTTAGTACTTAAATGTTTTTGAGGTCTAGTTGGGCACTTCAACTTCACTTTTAGATTCAAAATAGTATCCAAACTTGACTTCATGGTTGAAATAACTCATTTATCATAAGTACTAATTTAGATTTAAAAAAATGAAGTTAAAGTAATAATTTGAATAGAAAACTAAATTCAGGTACTTAATTGGATAAAAAAACTATAGATACCAAATTGAACTTTAAATTCAAGTTCATATACCTAAACCTAATTGTAACTTAAAACTAAGTTTAGGTACAAAATATATTTACCCTCGACTTTTCTTGGACCTCGTTGCACACTTTTTATGACGTGTCAATGGAAAAAAATCATTTTAATGATGGGAGAAAACTAGCGGTTCATTTCAAAACATAAAAGAACTCTCAGAAAATTTATTAAATGAACAATAAATTGACCATAATACAATATCTATGCCATTACAAGAGCAAAACACAACGCTTATGCTAGCAAATCGCAGACAAACAAAACACATGACGGCTCTACTTCAATTTCAAGTTTCAACGGTAGGTTCTGTATCGTGGGCTGTACATGCAGCTCTCGGCATACTTAACCAGATCCTTAGGCTGAGGCAGGTGAGAAGCCAGACCTAAAACAAACAATCAAATAATACATTAATTAATGGATAGGTTTAATGATTTTAAGAGCGTAATCAAATTATATAAAAGGATCACTCACCAAGTTCATATGCCTTGGCAGCAACCTTAGCAGCTATGTTGGCTGATATCTTTCTGATATCGGAGAATGGCGGGTAAATCATTCCCTTCTCGTAGTGTTCCTTCGTCACCTGTGCAGCCAAAGCTTCGGCTGCGTTACAGAAAAAAGGGAGAACCGTTAGGGTCCAGTCGGTCGAGTTTTTGATATAAACTAAGAGGGATCTTGAGTGGCTTGAATGCACTTACAGGCTGCTAAAAGCATGTCATCGTGAACACGAATTGCACCGGAAATAATGACACCCAAACCAAATCCAGGGAAGATGTAAGCATTGTTTGCCTGAAATGACAGACAACAACTAGTGTAAGAAAATCTGGGTGCAAGCAAACTTCAAACTTGAAAAATAGTTTTGAGGTTTGTAGATAGAACCTGGCCAGGCACGAAGATTTTTCCATTGTATTCAAAGGTTTCAAATGGGCTTCCACTGGCAAAGATTGCACGACCCTGCAAATAAAAAAATGAAAAAAAAGGTAAATATTGTATGAAGAAAGACTATTTTTTACCTGACATTTTACTAAATTGCATGTCATATATACATATATGTATACCTCGGTCCATGTGTACGCTTCTTCTGCTGTACACTCCGCTTGTGAGGTAGGGTTAGACAGAGCCATGATAAGAGGTTTCTGCAAGTTTAAATCAACCATTAGGATTAGTGCAAAGGTCTTTGTTTGAGACCGAGATGGTATCGACATGCATAGAGAGAGAGAGAGAGAGATAATGAACCTCATTCAAGGATGCCATGGCCTCAACAACCTCCTTGGTGAATTGTTTTCCAACACCAGATGTTCCAATCAGGATAGTTGGCTTGATTGCCTGGTTAATCAACACAGAGTTAAGAAGGAAAGAAAGCACACATATATGATTTTCGAGTCTTGGTGGATGATTCAAGACAAGATATACACACCTTGACAGCATCTAAGAGTGTATTGACTGGTTCATGTTCATGAGCCCAAGGTTTCTTGAAGTGTTGAAGTGACTCCTTGCGAGAATCGACAATCAATCCCTTTGAGTCTACAAGCCAAATCTTCTTGCGGTTCTCTTCAATAGGATTTCCAGTCTGTCAAGAAAAAGTACCATAAACCTTTTTTCTGAGGAAACAAATATATATAGCATCAGAAAATGGTTAAACTTTGGTTACCTGCTTTGATATTTCAAGAGCTATGAGCTCAGCTATACCAGTTCCAGCCTATGAATCAAAAAGTTAAAAAGCATTCAAGACTTTAAACATGGAATTGTCCAGTAAAGTTGAGTTTTTTATTGGCATTGTGTTGGTTTGAGCCTTACCTCTCCAGCACCGAGGAACAAGAACCTATGGTCAGCGAGGGTTCCACCAAGTAATCTAAGGGATGCAAGAAGCCCAGCCAGCACAACAGATGCTGTACCCTGCCATTATGAAAGAGTTTTCATAAAAGAAAATGATATTGGAAACTAAAATAACCTAGCTACTTTGAACCATGAAAAGATGCTGGCATCGATTTATAGTGCATTACCTGTATATCGTCATTGAAAACAAGATGAGAAGAACTGTATCTTGCCAACAACTCGAATGCATTGTGGTTGGCAAAATCTTCAAACTGAAAGCAAAGCAAAGTGTATTCAGAGAACAGTGCATGTAAAAGTCCATAGTTAATGCCTAAAAGGAATATGATCCTATGATATTACCTGTATTAGTACTTTCTCTCCATAGTTCTGCTTAACTGCAGTCATGAACTCCTGAAGAAGTTCAGCATATTCCTATACCAAGGAAAATCAAAATCAGTATTTCAAATAAGTAAATACTTTATTGGCATAATGAATCATATAGGCATAAAGGAAAGAATCTCCAAACCTGTCCAGTTGCCCTCCTTTGCCTAAGTCCGATGTAAAACTCGTCGTTTAACAACTTCTCATTGTTTGTCCCAACATCAATCGTAATAGGCAAGCACTGCAAATATTGAATGAAAGTTGTAAACAATCAAATACCAGTGAAAATCATGAAAGAGAATGGTTATAGTAATGCTTACTGCTGAGGGGCGGACTCCTCCTAGAGCTGTATACAGAGAGAGTTTTCCTACAGGTATGCCCATTCCCTGAAAAACAAATCATATATTAAAAATCATTGGTCTATAAAAGAGAGTTTAAACCACTCGACTTTTATGAAAAAATTGCTCAAAATGCATACGGCTCTGCACCAAATCTCAAAGTTGATTTTGTTCAATGAACAGTTACAGTTAAGGCAGCTTCTAAACAAAAATTATTCCATGAAGTTGGCATAAGTGGTATAATTTGTTTTAGATGAAAGTTGAAGTTAAATTATCTAGTAAAATGTAAACTATTCGAGATTTATCGCTGTTTCGAGTCACGGGTTACCTGGCAACCAAGATCTCCAAGTCCCAAAATTCTCTCACCATCAGTGACAACAATAACTTGAACACTTCTCTCAGGCCAGTTTTTCAATACTTCAAGAATCTTTCCCCTGTTAGATTTACAATGCTTAGCATTTGATATGCAACATATAAAAGGTAAAACATAAAAAAATAAAGTTAAATCAGTTCGATTATTGTAGATTATTTTAGTTTTTTTTAATCGAACCGAATACATACTTCTCTTTCAAACTGATGTAAAGACCCTGAGGGCGCCTGAAAATGCTTCCATATTTCTGGCAAGCTTCACCGACTGTTGGAGTGTATACAACCGGGAGCAGTTCCTCCACATTATCAACGAGAAGCTTGTAGAAAAGTCGTTCATTTCTCTCCTGCAAAAACGCGGTCAAAAACCATCGTCAGTGCCCGGAGATTTCGATCAATAACTGTGATGTTTGGGGAAATTCAACAAACGGTTTAAGTACCTGAAGATCCATCAAGGCCATGTATCGTTGCAAAGGAACTTGATATTGGCGAAGGTTATGCATGAGCTTCTTCTCTTGAAGCTCTTGACTGAGAAGGACGGGGGGAAGAAGGCCACGCAGGTAGTGTGCATCTCTCTCGTTTTCGGTGAAGGCGAGCCCTTTGTTGTGACGAGGATCACGCATCAAGGAATACCCACTGCAAACAACAACAAACAAAATATCTATCTTCAGCTACACGAAATAACCAAAAGATCATCGATTCGTACATTCAAAAGCCAGTGAAAGAAATAAATCACCTAGCAACGGAGACGGTCCAGGGAGTGACGGGCTGATCCATCGAGGCAGCATCCTCACCGTAGGCATCCTCGACACCTCCAGCAACAGTGTAATCACCACCGTTCGACATTTGTTCTAAACAATAATAGACCCGAGGTTATCTTCCTTCTCTACTCAACAATCAAAGATCAGAGAAAGCTGTGAAACAGAGCAAAACAGGATAAAAAATAGCAGAGAAAAATGAGATTTTGCTTCTATATTACAGAAAAGAAAAACCAACTATGTTTTTATAGCGAAGGAAATCCCAGAAGGATGGTTCTACGAAAGTTGGAAAATCAAAGGTGACCGGCGATTCCATTATTTCCTTTTTTTACATGTCAAATGGAAGAAAAACAAACTGTGCCTTGGCCCACGTGTTGGCTGCTCATAAAGATATTTAAGACAAAAAATTGAATTTTTATTATTATCAAAATCATGTACAAGTTGCAATATGGGTGAATTCTTTTGCAGCGGAAGCATTATTGGTCGTTGAAGACGAGGGAACGTGGTGAAAACTGGAAACAACCGACAGCAATAACATTTTGCGTAAACTACACGTTTAGTATGCAACTATCACTTTTGTTCTATTTTAGCCACTTAACTATTTTTTGTTTCAAAATCATACCTAATATTTAGTTTTGGTTTTATTTTGGTCATTCACTATTAAAAAATTAACAATAATGATACATGTCATCATAAGATAATGTCACATCATCATTGAAAAAACAAAAAAAATTATCATGTTAGCAGTTATGTTAATTTTAGTCGCGTGTTGAAGTTGACGTGGAATAGTTATATTGTTGTGGTTTGGAAGGCGAGGAATCACATGCTCTTTGCTGGAAACGTGACTTCTGTCTCTGGGATGGTTGATCGGATCGAGATTATGGGGTAAGCAAGTTGATAGGGAGTGTCCTGTTAATAGGGATAGTGGTTTGTTGACAGGTTTTTTTTTTTTTTTTTTTGCTGTTTGTAGTTGTGTTGAAGGTTTTTTCCTGTTTTTGGAATATAATAGATCATTCATCTAAAAATATTTAACGGTGGGTGACAAAATGTAGTTTAAGGATTTAGTATTTAATGAAACCTCTAATAATATAATAATAATTTATAATTAACCATTAAATTTGTTCAATTACGCCTTGAGCTTGAGATGTTATAAATTTCGAGATATATTTTTATTAAAAAAAATGTTAAGATATTAAGTTTGAATTATATTATATATGGATTACTCGATTAGTACAAGGACCATCTTCAGAATTTAACAATTCTTTTCATTTGCTTTAGCTAAGCACTACACAGGTGGTAACCAGTGAAGTTGGTAACTACGTATTTTAAAAAAGAAATATTTTTCATAAGACATTTGATGTGAAACAATTAAATATATTTTTAATAAAAAATAAAAAGGAAATAAATTTTTTTAGTAAAAGGTAATTTAAGTGATATAATTTAAAAATTAAAAAAAATACTGGAACAATATTAATTTTCATAAAAAATTATATTATATTTAATTTAAGGGGTTGAAATTAAATATTTTAGACCCACTAATCCAATTGTGTTCTGTTCAATGTATTGGGAGGGAAGAAAACCTGGTCAAGTCTCTTTAGATTGCTACACTTTTTGACCCGACCCATTATGATTATTCCAACTCTTTCTTCATTTGCCCCTATAATCTATCATGGATTCAAATTTCCATATTATTGTTTTAAAAATGCTTTATACCTGATTTATTTTTTTAATTATATTTGTTCTTTTTTCGTGTTTCGTTTTTATTGACTGGTTCATTGATTTTTTTAGTAAATTAGAATATAATAATAATTTAGATATTAAAGTGATAAATAAAAGTAAATCTGTGAATTGGAGTATGAATTATCTCTTTGAAATAATAGATAAATAAACATAAATAATTCAGCAGTTCACATAACAGGTGTGAATGAAATGAAAATAAAAAGAAGCTTTGAAATCGTTCTGTGTGGGAGTACCTATAAAATTCAAAAAGCGCATGCATCCGTTCATTTTCCACTGTTCAAGAATCATGACTACGCCTACGCGGCGCCTCTTATTATTTATACACAGAATTGAATTCTGTATTCAAATTCTAGATAATCCAAAATAAATTTGGACAATTGAAAATTATGTTGGATTAATTAGTTAATAATAATATAAAATAAAATAGATCAAATTATGTCAAACAAAAATATATTACCTGAATTTAGGCATGATAAAAATATCAAAAAACATGAATTGATCAAATTGAAAAACCTATTAATATAAACTTATAATTGAATTTAAGTAGAAATAATTGCTACTATTAGATACAATGAACAAAATAATTTCTAACCTCATGCTACTAATATAGTAATAAAAAGTGAATAATGATTTAGAAAATGATTGTTCGTCTTGCCCTTTTAATGTTTACAATGAAATATAAATTATAATTACTGATAATAAAATATATAAATTAAATATAGATTCGAGTTTGCTTATATTTATAGATATATAAGAGTTTCAATAATTAAACATAAATTTAAAAAATATATAAATTATAATTTTATAAGAATAAAATAAATTTTATTCTCTAAATTTGATATTTTTTTATTTTGTCCCAAAAGTTTTTGCCATATTAGTCTTGAACTTAGCATTTTGCAATGTTTCCTATTCATGTCAATAATTTAAGTAACTAAAAATGGTCAAAACAAATTATGTAATACTTATGGATAAATAAAATTTAAGGTTCAAGAATCAAAGATTAAATTAAAAAAAACCATATTTAAAGACTAAAAATTACTTTATTTTATTTTTATATCCCAAATGCTTTATTTTATTAGGTTGTACGATCTACTATAATACTATATGCACATAATGAGATTAACAGCTGCTATGCCCTTGATTTGTAGTGGAACAAACCATTTTAAATGTAAAAAATATTTTTTAATTGATAGTGATCGGCACGTTAATCTGATATTATTTTAAATTGGAGGTGGCGGCTGGGGAAGCGGACATGCAGCTTCTTAATTAATTATAGGGTAAAGTATAGTAATGGTCATTGAACTTTTCTAAATATTTCATTTAGGTCCCCAAACTTTTAAAACTTGCAATACAGTCCCAAACATTTAGTTCGTTTACAATATGGTCCCCCAACAGTTACATCGGGACCATATTGCAAATGGACTAAATGTTGGGGGACCATATTGCAAACAGACTAAATGTTGGGGGACTATATAGTAAGTTTTAAAAGTTGAGAGACCTAAATGAAAGTTTTAGAAAAATTCAGTGATCATTACTATACTTTACCCTTTTATTTATTATTTGATCTGAGTTTGAGAAAGTTTTATTTATCTTAAAATATTATTTGATTTTTGAGATAAATTCACACCAGCCTTTAATCGATTAAATATGTGAAGAGAGTAATACAAGTATTTTTCACTATAAATCTAACCTCAACCTTAAAAAAAATTCAACCCGATTTAAATTTGATTTTTTTAATAAAAAAATTCAATTCTATAAAATCAGATTAAAATTCATTGAGTTTATAGATTAAATGCTCATTCATATGTATAACAATTTTATTAAAATGTCAAATATTACTTTAAAATATTAATATTTTAAAATTATCCGTACAAATGAAAAACTTAGTTTAGATTTAATAATGTAAATGAAAAAAAAATCATAACATTTTTAAACCTTGAATGTTAAATTAATAAAACATAAATCTTAATTTTTTAATATAAGGGTAAAGTAAAGTAATGGTCACTAAACTTTTTTAAAGCTTTCATTTAGGTCCCCAATTTTTAAAACTTGCAATACAGTCCCCCAACATTTAGTTCATTTGCAATATGGTCCCCCAACAGTTACGTCGGGGACCATATTGCAAATGAACTAAATGTTGGGGACCATATTACAAATAGACTAATTGTTGGGGGACTTTATTGCAAGTTTTAAAAGTTGAGGGACCTAAATGAAAGCTTTAGAAAAGTTCAGTGACCATTATTATATTTTACCCTTAATTATATTTAGAAAAAATACATCATTACTAAGATAATATTTATTATGAAGCAAATTAAAAAGGAAACATAGTGTAAATAAAAGGAATAATTATCCCACTCATCAGTTTTATAATATTACGTGGTGTTTTATTATTATTATTATTATTATTATTATTTGTCAACCATACGTCAGTAATTAAACAAAGGAAAAGTTAATGTTTTTTTATCAGAAGGAAAAGTTAATTTTTTTATCAGAAGGAAAAGTTAATGTTAAAGACAATAAAAAGAATTTGTTAATGATCATCACATGTTGTTACCAAATAATTATTACTTTATGTTGTCGAACTTTAAATATCTTATCTTTAAAATATAATATAAAAATGCTAAAGACAGAGATGAAAAGGTCCATACCATTATAGATATTCTTTAAGATTAAATATGATGTAGATATTACAGTAGAATCTATAAAATCATGAAAATTATTAGAATCTGAAAATTAAAGAACACTTAAATCTATCGTGCAAGATGATTAAAATCAATGTTTCAATAGCTACCATCTAATCTCTTCTCCATCCGGTGGATTGCCCTATCGCCTCGCTCTCCGGCTCGAACAGAAGGTCGTGCAAGAAGCCATCGTAGCGCCTTATGTCTTTCAACTTGGAGGCTGCTTCGTTGTATAAATCCTGGGAGGCAAGTGGATCGGTGACTTTGTCTGCGGTGCCATGCAGAACCAAAAACGGGACCGTCACGGACTTCAAGTTTTGCATCAAGTAAGATGAGATGCGTAGTATTTAGTGCCCGGTTCGGACCCTTACCGGACCGGGTAGACCAAGGGGTCCGAGTACTTGGTCAGTAGTGCTGCGGGGTCCCTCGAAACAGGGATGCCACTCTTGTTTGCACCTTTGAAGAGAAAAAAAGGGAGCAACAGCCTGCATATATACGCCATGTAGAAAATTCAACATGGGGAAGAATAGTACACCAAAGAAACTCACACATCTCAGACCATGAGTTCGTTCGAGTTGAAGTTCGGTCTAAAATACGGGTTCGAATTTTTAGCAAAGTTATAAACCAAGAACAAGAAGCAGCAACTGACCTTAACAATTGGGTGGGTGTATTGGCTTGACAGGCAAAGCTGGAGATGTCAGCACAATTCCCTCCACCATTTCTTCAATATGTGGATATGAAGTTGCCTGCAATTTTGAAACTTATTAATTCAGTTCATAAAATCGGTAACTTAAACTAATCGTTAGATACCAATGTAATACATGAGTTATGTATTATAGTCATAAGACCATTTTTTAATTTTAAATAGTCGAGAGACTCAACAAAATAATACACTATAATCAAACATCATTTATGTGCTTTATCCAAAATTGATTAAAACATTTCACGATAATATATGAATAAAATGTACGTTGGAAATGCAACAATTATGAAAGCACCATATAATTTTTAAGCTCTTAAGACATAATTGTTAGTGTGTTAATCTCCACTCATTGTCTCTTTTGCTCGTATGGTGACAACTCATTTTCTTCCCGCTTTGCCCTAACTTTTTAGGGACAATCTTGGCCTTATCGGGAGTAATAAAAGGAACCTTTAGCCCCAAATGAACTCAATGTATTCCCTAAGGGCTTTGGGTTCATAAACACATTAAAAATACAATGGTTCAGCTCACTTGATAATAGTAGAGAGCCTACACTTTTTTGGTAAATTACTTCTATAATTATTAAATTATGGAGTGGATTATATTTAGACCATTGAAAGAAATTATCAATTAGATCATTAAACTTTAAATTTAATTTAAGTTAAACTACAGTCTCAAACTTTTGAGTATTTCAAATTTATCCCAAAAAATATGAATCTTATTCTAAATTGGTTCTGAAATTTTTGAATATTTTGATTTTATCTCTAAACTTTTGAATGGTTTTGGGGGATGTAATCATAACATTCAAAATTTTGGGGACCATTTTAGAATGAGAGTCATAGTTTGAAGATGAATTTAGAATGCCTAAAAGTTTGTGGACTAATTTAGAATGATGGTCATAGTTTAGGGATGAAATTAAAATGTTCAAAATTTTTGGGATCATTTTAAAACATAAATAATAGTTTAAAGGGATATATTAGAATTAATTTAAAATTATGAGAGTGTTCATGAGACACTAATTTTGAATTAATTGGTGATTTTACCGAAATATACCCGTACATGTAATAATTATATGTCATGTACCCTTTCTCTTAATATTACCGATTTAACACTCTTTCTGACAAGGTGAGGATCACCTTCTGCGCCTTCGCAGGGTTTTGTCCAAGCTGACACCACGTAAGGGAAGGTGCAAATCGTCATCTGCGCCTTAATTGAACCTCTAACATATATGGAAGGCACAAATCATGAAGCGCGCCTTCCATAGGTCCACATCATCCCTAAAATCATTTTAAAAAAAATATGCTTTAAATTTAAAAAAAAAAACTATAAAATTAACATCGTAATTTAATACATATTAGTTCTATGAGTTGAAGAGCTTAATAGGGTTAGCTTATATAGGCATATTAGAGTGTTTATGTTATGTTTCTTGACAATGTGGGATAAAAGTTAAAAGGTGTATTCCTTAACTTTTTTTATCTTTATATCTAAAGAATCTACTTATACACTCTTATTAAGTTAAATTAGGTTAATATTTATTATTAAGGTTTATATTAATTAATATTATATATTTTTATATGTTAATATATAAAACTAGGACAAGTATAATTTTATTTTTGACTCACTTAAAAGTAGATTTTGTATATATATTTTATATTGGTACCATTAAGTTTTGTCATGAGATATGAACCATCGTCTTCTTCAATTAATGTTCTCCCATATGATTAGTTGCATATAATGAATTTGGAAAATAATAATTACCATTAGTGGTAATGATTAATTTGGTTCATATATTATATACAAAAAGAATATGACTACGACGAAATTTATTAGGTGTTGAGTAATCAAAGACGTATAGATTGTTTTATCTATAAGTTCGAATATTGATATTTAGTTTAAAAAATAATAATAAATCATATTACGTCACTCATAACAAATTGCTTGTGGATGTCATTTAGCCAAACCCAATCCTTTTAAGTTATTCTTATTTTCCTTTCCAAAAGATTATATAATATATGCAAATTTATGTGTGAAATAAGAGAAGACAAACCGGTCGAAATTTCTATGTCGAAATTTCTATTTTCTCATCATTGGAAAGTAAACCATTTTGATGTTAGCAAAATATGATAAACAAGTATGATTATTATATTTACCATCATTGTCCTTTCACTTGGATATTTGTTTGTCTTTTTGCTTACTAATATTTCATTAATTTTTTTAGCGTATTATAGATGTTGATAATGCATTACTACATTAAGCAGAAGTATGCATGCATTATTACAAGGTTAATAATGAATGCTCAATCACTTTTGTAGTTATTGGTGCTTGAACTCGTAATTTCTAGGAACAACAACAATTATTTTAACCACTAAAGTAAGTTGATTCATTCCCACTTTTAAATTTCTTAAATTAATTCCTCTCTATTTATCGAAATCCAAATGCATATAAGATATATATATATCACAATGTACGTTGATGATATAGTAGTAACATGATCTAATACTAAGTAATTAATCAATTAATTTTTAACTTTTATTTTTTGGGTTGATGTAAGGTAACTTAAAAATTAAAAAAATTAATAATTTATCAACTTCTTATTACATTTATATGTATATAATTGAAATAAAAATGTAATGAAAATGATCAAAAACAACTCATGGAAACATAACCTAAATACATTGTCAAGAAATACACATTTTAGCTTTTATCTCACGTTGTTAAAAAACATAACTTAAACACTCCAATATGTATATATAAGCTATCCCTATTAACCTCTTCAACTCATGGAACTAATATGTATTAAATTATGATGTTAATCCCTATAATTTTTTTTTTAATTTTTTAAAGCATGTTTTTAAAATGCTTTTAGGAATGATGTGACCTATAGAAGCGAGGCGCGAATGATGATCCGCACCTTCCCTTATGTGGCACTAGCTCGGACAAAGCCCCACGAAGGCGCGGATGGTGATCTTGTCATAAAAGGTGCTAGATCGGTAAATATTAGGAGAAAGGGTGATTGACAGGTAATTATAACATGTACGTATAATATTTCGGTAAAATGGACTTATTTAACTTGACCGTACAACTAATTTAACGGAGTATTTTCAGTAATCCAATAGAAGGGGAAAAGGTTTAGGCAAAAGCTACTTTCCTTCCCTTTCTTCGGGACCCCTGTGAAGAAGAAAACCCTACTTTTATATAATATATGTATTTCTCTAATCACATGCAAGCTTTGCAGTATTTCTCGTGAAATTAGGGTTCTTTTGTATTCGTTGTTTCAGAATTTATTACTTGGAATTTGTATGGATGGAATAGACAACCTCGTGAAAAACCCTAAAACTTCGTCCAACACGCAACCTTCATCAAACCATATCTCATTATTATATTCCTATACCAAACCTAGCTGTGATCACTCTTTCTAATTACTGCATATATTCATTCTCCGTATGTGTGTGTATATTATAACCTTAAATTAAAGTTTAAGTATATAAATTGTATAAATGAGTTTAAACGAATTGAGCTCGAATGATTTAATTGTAAATTATGTTTTGATTTAAAAATATTTTTTGAGTTTAAATCAAATAACTCGATTTGATTCGAGTTTTTAAAAAAAATTGAATTATAAAATAAAACTCTTTAACTTGAGTAACTCAATTATTTTTAAATCGACTTCACCCTAAACTTTCAGCAGTCCATATAATTTTCCCATAAGTTTTTACGGGAAATTACAACGTCTATATATAAGTTAAATCTCTACACTTTCCATTTCATTTCTCCGTTAGCTTATTCCAGCCGTGGCACCGAATATGGAAACCAAAAACGCTACAGTCAGCAAGCCTCGACGTCTTTCAATGGAGGGTCTCCAAAGAACGATATCCGACATATCGTTGGAGCTAAGCAAAGAAACCATCGACCTGGCGGAGCAGCTTCCGCCCATATCCGAAGTGGAGGACGCCAACTGCGAGTGCTGCGGCATGTCCGAGGAGTGCACTCCCGAGTACATTAACCAAGTTCGAGACAAGTTCTCGGGGAAACTGGTGTGCGGACTCTGCGCGGAGGCTATTAGCGAAGAGACCCAGAAAAACGGAGGCAAAAGGGAAGAAGCTTTGAACGAGCATATGAGTGCTTGTATGAGGTTCAATCGGTTCGATCGGACTCACCCCGTGCTGTACCAAGCTGAGGCCATGAGACAAATCTTGAAGAAGAGTTCGGAAATTCGGGCTAAGTCGATGAGTCCTAGAGACAGAAGTGGTCCGAACAAGGGTGGTAGCGAGGAGCTTGAGTTGTATGTCGGCTATCGCCGAAGGATTGGTGACCAGGCAATGGTGAATTAAGTGTCTTTGGTCTCGAATAAGCCTTTGCAATTGTATTGTCGTATAAATCTCACGTTTTAACATATCAAAATTTAAAATCAAGGCCTTAGACATAAATTATAGGATTTTGTTGCACTAAAATAGTTGCAACTTATCAGTTGTACTTGAATAACTGATCGTACGTTGTATCCGCATATTTGTATCTTGGAGCGATTTGTAGTTGTATTGTGAATATGTTTATTGTATCCGCATATCTGTTTTTCTATATGAAAATATTTGCAATATATTATGTTTAAACATATATGTAATTATCATAGGAACAATTTAGACTTTGCGTATTAAAAGAACAAATAATATCGATAAATTTTAAGAGGATTTTCTTTTCAACACGTCAAATTCAATTTTTAATAATAAGAATTATATTTGTATTTGTCAAAAATGACATCATTTAGAACAATATCTTATATACATTCAAGATAATTGTAAGTAAAATAAATCGGTGAACAATAGTAATAACTCAATGAACAAGGACGAACGCAGTTGTATTGACAGTTTGTCGGATGTAATAAACTTGAATGTGGGAGTTGTGTCGTGCTTCATCAAGATGAAAACTTACCACAAATAAAATTGAAGTGACAATAAACTTACTGATCAACGACATTAGCAGCATCACTCTCAAGAATAAAACTTGGTCAACCTATTTGATTATTAATCGAATCCCTTGGGTGATGGTGCGTGCCTCAACGACGTTCGAATCGTGTAAGTCCGTCACCGGTAACTCATGGCCAACAATCTCCAACCTTCTGAAATCTCGAGCTAAGACCAGGGTAAGCAATAGTACATGCATCACCAACATTAATCTTTGGAGTGCTCGATGGTGGCTTAATCCAAACTAGGAAAGAAGCAAGATATGTCGCTGCTGTGTATGTCTTTGTTAACACGTCAAATATAAGTTGTCTATGTATACGTGTAATTTAAAATATACATTATATCGGATTTAAGTAGACATTTAAATTTAGAGACTAATTTAAAATATAGATCATAGTTTAAGGATGTATAATACAATTAAGTCATTATTTCTTTAACCCTTCTTTTGGGCTCATAAATTCGAGTTCCTATAAGGTTGGCCTGTATACAGTTCTTCTTAAAATGTTTTAGGATTCAACAAAGAAGGCGCGTTTATTACTTGGAAATGGAGGGAACAATGGTTAAGCCCAGAAAAGCTATGATTGGCCCATATACATATGCATATGCATATACATATACATATACATATGCATATGCATATACATATACATATACATATACATATACATATACATATACATATACATATATATATATACATATACATATACATATACATATACATATACATATACATATACATATACATATACATATACATATACATATACATATACATATACATATACATATACATATACATATACATATACATATACATATACATATACATATACATATACATATACATATACATATACATATACATATACATATACATATACATATACATATACATATACATATACATATACATATCATCTTCTAAAGTAAATTATTAGTTCAAAAGTCAGGCAAAATTAATGCAATAATGATGGCGTCAATTTGTTTTTTGAAATGTACTGACAGTAGAAAGTTATTTTGGGATCTATGATATTTATTATAATATTTTAGAATTTATTACAGTATTTTAGAATTTATTACGTGGGCATAACGAGTTTTAATAAAATATTTTTTTATTGTAACTTACACGTGGACATGACGAATTTCAATAAAAAATAATTTTTTTCTTCAAAATTGTTATACCCACGTGACAAGTTTAAAAACATTATAGCAAATGGCATATATCCCAAAATAAATTTTAAGATACTTTATTTTGTCAAATTATTTTGCCGCCACCAATATTTCACTGATTTTGTCGCAAAAGTCATGTAACTGGTTTTATTTTTTTATTTGTGTTTGGAGTGTTGTCTATTGGATGGAAGCATTGAACTAATAATTCGATTATAATTTTTCTTAATAGTCTGGAGTGATTATAATGTAGCATATGTTCAAGATTTTTTTAGTTATCAATGATACATGTCTTGTAGACACAGTTGTTCGAACCCAAAACCTTAAGATTTCTCTCAACCATTCGATATTGTTAGTTAACTTCGTATATAAAGTAAACTTAAGTCATAAGCTTTTAAGCAAAAGGGAAAAGAAATAAGGTGATAAATTTAAGTATAAAAATCAATACATAAGCGTCAGTTAAATACGTGGTGTTATATATGAATCTTAGTTTCTTATAATTGTATATATTAAATCTTAATTTAATTTTATATTATACAAACAATTATATTTATCTAATTATATATGTGTAGATATAACTTTCTACTAAAAAACTAATTACGGCTGAAACCATGCAATGCACATATACACATACACATGAGCAACACGAGAGAAGAAGGGTTTCTTTTAAATGTCATTGTTGTTTCATCTCCTTCTGCAATTTGTAAATTTAGGGTTACTAGCTAGCTAGGACGGGGACCATTTTAATAAGCCTCCAGTCTCATGATTTGCATGCAAATCACTCCACCCATCCATTTTATTTAACTTTTAAGTTTCTTAAAATAATAATAAACATAGATGGACTGAAGAAGTGTTGGAGGATGATCAAAATTTTTAAATTCTTGTATAATTTATAATGAATAAAAAATTATTTAATGAGATTTTATTGTATCAGCTTTTGTTGAATAAAAATCCAGAGATAGAAATGGCTCCACGCCTCTCTATATATAAACACATTTGCAAACATTGAATGGAATGGCAATATGTATAAACTATAGACAGAGAAGGGTGCTCGTGAGTCGCTCACGAGTTAGCATGGCCATGCACGGGCTTCCAAAATTCCATACTTTCTTCCGACTCCCAATACACAATGGGATTGGATTGGCCATCTTTTTATTTTAATAATGCATGCCCTTCGTCTTCGTGTATGTAACCTTTAATTTCCATATATATATATAACGTCTTACATCACCATCTTCCCCCTTTCCAAATCACTTTCCAAATCACAGCACATTATCTCCCTGCTAGTGGTACAATTTGATAATTAATATTTGATGTGATGATAAAAAGTGATTGTCAAATCTATTAGATTACATATATTTATATTTGTAAAGTGTAATGGTGAACGGCTGCTCTCATTATATATATAGTATTTCGGTTCAAAGATTCATTCAGTGATCACTTCCAAATCATGGTATGTTAAATTACAATTATATACATTGCTTCTTTTACTTCTTATTAGATTTGAGAATTTGATTTGAATTAGGGTCATTTCTAAGTTTAAGTTGTTTTGGTTTCTTTTGTTCAGGGTTTAAGTCATAATAAACTGAAAAGACGTCGAAGACGGCCGCACCTTTAAAAATTTCATATTATTATATAGTGTAATTTTTATTTTTGTAGTTTGGGTTCAAAATATTTCAAGTTTAAACTGTTTTGAGTATAAATTTTTTAAAATTTTCAAAAACAAATTGTTATGACTTCATACTATTTGAGTTATGTTCACTAGAATTTAGGTTCATTTGTTTGAATGATTTAAAGTTTAAGTTGTTTTATATTTGGATTGAGTTGAAATCATATTTGAATCTGAGTGGATGAAATCAAATTCCCGAATTCAGTTTAGATATGAAATGTATACTTCTTACACGTATGATTAAGATTGATTCAAAACCCTAATTTGTGTCATAATATTTCCACAGAATAACGACCAAAGGTGTCTTCGAAAGGTGGTGTCAGATGTTTCTTGGGAAATGGGAAAGTATATAGATATCGCACTAGAATCTTCAACTTCCACAATACCTGAAGAAGATGAAGTGGTGAAGCAAGCCGAATGCGAGTGCTGTGGATTCAAAGAGGATTGCACCGCGGATTACATCACGAGAGTGAAGGATCGCCATTGTGGGAGATGGGTTTGCGGGCTATGCTCGGAGGCTGTAAAAGAAAGGTTAAACGGAGCTACCCCGACGGCGGCGGCCATGGAAGACGCGGTGAGTTCTCACAGGGAATTTTGCCAGAACTTCAACAGCACCACCAGACTCAACCCCAAACTGTCTCTCACCTTTGCGATGAGGGATATAGCTAAAAGAAGCCATGAGACTCGACGAAGCTCCAACAGTTTGGTTGCATCGAAGATCGGTAGAAGCACTAGCTGTGTCCCAAAGATCGATTTAAATAAGCACTCACTGGTTTAACACCTTCAATTTTCATGTTTTCTGGGGCTTTGGTTGGCTACAATTTATACGACCTTACAGATCACGTCGTTATAATCCCACATTTGTGTTTATTTATTTGGATAAATAATTTTTCCGCTTATCATTTCAAGAACAGCATAGAATAACGAGGAGTAAATAATCCAAAAATAATAACTTGGCCTAGGTCATTCGATGCTAGTTTGTAATTGACGTGGAATATGTTAAAAATGTGTGGATCGGGTCATAAAAACATATGTGCTTATCGTATGGACAATTTGTAAATCTAATGTATTAATAAAACAAACAATGTCGATAAAAATTAAGAGAATTAGTATTTGGTGTCCGATTAGGCTATTAGAGATACTTAATTGATACAATATTGATATTTGAGGACTTGGTTAAAATATATTAAAACTTAGATACTAATTTAGAATTTGAATTATAGTTTAAAGATGCTTGTAACAGTATCATATGACTTGAAAGGTTTCTCCAAACTAACAAAGACGACAACATGAGAAGGGAGCTTCAAATCTAATCTATCTTGATATCCAAAACCCTAAATTCTCTATGGATTTTCATACAAAAGACCAGTTGATGAACATGAAGCAGATACAGTTCACATTTTCTTCATCGTTTACCACTTTCCAAGCCACGGCCCTCTCGTAGGAGACCGGCCTCGCCATGCTAGACAAGCAGATACCGCCTTGAAGGCACATAAAACCCTGCAAACAGAGACCACAAATGAATCAATCGTATGTTCTGCATTCAGTTGTTATCTGTCAGCTTGTGTTTATATCATACCTGCTGCATTACTTGTGGGAACTCGGTGAATAGGGTTTTCCGTCCGTTCTCGTCGAAAATATTTTCCAGTGTAATGTCCTGGAGCGACACCAATGTCGTTTCGAGCATGTCGAGTCCGGCTTGATTTGCGAATGTGAAAACAGGTAGTGCCTGCATATATATTACTAAGCATCAATTATGGCACAAGAGCAAACGGGAAGAGGGAGACGAGTATCATGTGTTACCACGACAACCCGGGACAAGGAAAACATATAACTCGACTCGAGAAAACATGTTCATTTTGAGTAAATACCTTCAAAGAGCAGCACAGAATTGCATCTGTGTGGTGCCAAAGCATTTTCAGAATGGATTCACTTCCCTCATGTTTGAGAAGTTCTGACCCCATATAGCACCTGTAAAGAGAAAAACGACCCGAACATATTGGTTAACACAAACAAATCCGAATGGCCTAACGAATGTTAACAACAAGCTTTATATCCAGATTGCTGGGGAATGGACAAAAAGGAATTTGACAGATGCACCTATAGCTTTGACAAATCCAACAGGCAAGAGTTTGTGCTTCAGGAGTACCAGGGGATGACCCTAAGCCAGCATGAGAACCTAAGAAGGAAGGAGAGAGTGCTAATGCCACCCTTTGAACCGAGGCGATAATACTACGGACGTACTGTCGAGCCATGATTGCCATGTTTTCCTGAAGGTGGATCTCATACACAAACTGAAATGCTATTGTCATCACAGATTTCGTGCTCTCAGAACGACCGGAATTATCCCCAGTTGCACGGTTCACGGAAGCCCCGACTTCAAGCGTGGAGGCAAGGTCAAGTGTACGATTTGGACTGGTCACATCCTACATTACATAAATGTATTCATTAATTGAAGAACTAAAAATAAAAGATGATCAAGCACAGAATCTTATAACACTTACCATTCTGGAATCAATGGGAATGATGCGGAAACCGGAAGGGATAATAGGCGCATCCTCAGAGAACGAGCCATCTATGGGGGCAAAGATGAGTTCAGCACAAGAGCTAACCGCATTCTCATCAACTCCACTACAAAGCTGAGAGATTCATACAACAAAGAAAATCATATATCAACAACAGAGTTAAATCAGAACTAAATATCAGCCCGTGCAGTAAAATAACATCAGTTGATTGATTTTGGGTGAGAACTTACGTACCTGCAAAAGGAAGATATCACTTGGCATGATCATGTCCTGATAGTGGCCCATGTTTTCAAGCTTAATAACCTCCATGAACTATAACAAAAATGTTATAGCAATATTCAGGATACATTTTGCTAAATGATGGCAAAGATTCTATTGTGAGTGCCAAAACCAAGTATTTAATCACTTACCTCTTCATGCTCTATTGTGTGAGCCAATGGAAGAATGACTTGACCCCCAAAACTTCCCCCTCGAGGCACCGGCAAGCTACACGGTCCGGCTTTGACAGCAGCAGCTGAATAAGCATCGATGCCGCTGTCTGCCCACTCTGATCGATGTTCTCGTAAGAATCTGAGAAGTATTGTTGGAGGTACATTCTACAAATATGATGAAAGCAGAGGTTTAACATCTATAGATCTTCTGATGTAATTGACATACTTTTGATTCATCTAGAAACTGACCTGTAATAACATGGATGCTTTGGCACATAGAACAGCATTGCCCATCGAAGGAAATCCATTACTATAAGAAAAGTTTACATCCACCATCTTGCCGGGAGATGAGTTCACAAGGAGGGTAACATCATCAACACCGTCACTTTCCAACATCGTCCATCCTTCGTCGGTAAACCCATTAACAACCTCGTTAAATCCCCTGGACAACAGAAAATGTTAGACCATAATCAATCAAGAATCTACCTACTGCTGCACCTAAATGGTGAATTTAGAAGAGCTGCACAAACATACTTGCTCAATTTCTGACTAAGTGCGCGTAGAGCTGCAGGTCTTCTCCCCCAACCGGTAACGTTTGGTTGAGATATTTCCTGAGAAATCTGCCTCAAATGACGGAAAGCCTGCACAAATACCGAGATTATGGCATGAGACATTGTAATCTCTTGATTTAGTCCCCCAACTCTACACTCAAAATATAGATGCAAGGAATAGTCTTACTGCCATTGTTATCTTCTGAGCGAGTAAAGTTGAGGACTCGTAAAGGGGCCGCAAAACTTCAGGAACACTTAAAGGCTACATATAAGCAAGAAGACATTTAAAACTGATAACCCATGCAATAATTTTTTTTACGTTTCACAAGGGAAGCAATGTGATCTATACCTCCAAGTCCATGTGATCAACGATGTGAATGATGGATCCACCCCCTTCACAAGGTCTAATCAGGTAACCACTAGGCAGTAATTCTGCTCTCACAAAATTTACTGCTGGTGGCATACTTGGACCATTTTGAGTGTTGTTAAGTGATCTTTCACATACCTAAGCATCATATTGTGATTGTAACGATCAGATTATAAACTTTCTGACAACACGAAGGCAAAGGAATAATGAAAGCTTCATATGAAACATACCACAAGGCTACCATCCTCCAAAACAGATGTGTAGCGCATCAACCAGAAGTCACGAGCCGGTGCCAATGTTGTAGGTGCGTAAAGCTAAAAGAAGAGAACCAAATTTTGACACTTTTACCATAAGTCATTGCACCATTAATTGAAAACTTTAGTTGCAAATTGGGGGGGGGGAATTGTAGTCTACCTGCATATAAAGCAGTTCAATGGTTCCACCATTTGCAGTGGACAACATGTTTATAACATCCACAGCTCGGCAATCACGGTACCAAGAAGGCCGATCTTTTAGGATTTCAGCAACCTTGTGGGAGGGGGGGAGGATCACCAGTCAATTCAACTAAATATGAACCAAAAAAACGTCCTCAAACCAGATAGCAAAAACCAAACTTACTCTTGTAGGATCTAGTCCCACAAGTCCGCATGCACGTGCTGCAACTCCAGTGCAACCATGAGAAATAGCAACGATTCCGATGGAATCCGGACCAGGCTGCATCGATAAGAAAGATATCAGTATGTAAAAAATGGCAAGAATTGAAGACTACTTTGGTTAATTATAATATTCTACTAAACTAATTAACATTACTTAATTAATTACTTTATTAACAATGTGGATGCTAAATAGTAATGGAAAAGAGGAAAAGATTAGTAACCAATAGAGAAAGAGGATAATGGGGTTGTCCTAGATATTGACATAACATATATGGATTTGAGTGTTGCTTAGAAGATCAGCAAGATAATGCACTTTGTTATGGATAATGATAAAGCATAATGGAGTACAGTTTAATATTAGTAAAGAAAAAAAAAAGATAATGAAAGGAGAGCAGTAACCTTCATTCCAGGCATTTGGACCCACTCCACAGCAGTTCCAGTTGCCTTTGAAAGAAACTCTGTTAAAGTTTCCTCTGCAATGGACAAAAGTCTAAAACCATACAAAATCATATAAGCAATACAGCAACAAAAAAAACAAAAAAAAATTAAAGGCTCAATTTCATAGAGAAACGAGGATAGAAAGGGACACAACAAGTTGTTACTAACCCTGCAGGGCTGGCATCCCTTGGAGGATGCTGAGAAGTACTTTGGTGTTGACCGCTACTCACCACTGAGTCACAGCTTGTATCTGTGGTGGTTAGGGTTGCCTGCAACACAAAAATAGCTTCAATAAACTCCATAATATCAAAAAATACCAACAGTTCAAAGCAAATGAAAGGTTTCCAAGAAAAGGGTTCAAAGCAAATCAAAAGGCTTTACTAACATTTTGAGTCTGTTGACGAAAATAGCTGTTTTCATAAACAAGGTGTGAAACTTGCTTTTGTAGCCTATCATTCTCCTCCATTAACAGTTTATTCATAGCAGTCAACTTCCTGTTCACGGCTTGGAGGCTTGACGCCTCTTTCCTTTGTTTTTCTCTACATCTGTTGACAAAATTCAAAGATCCCAAACTCAGCAACCAAATAAAACTACGATGAAATATGAAAAAGGTCGGGAGATTATCTTATGGACCTGCGATTTTGGAACCAAACTTTGATCTGTTTAGGCTCGATGTTGGAGAGGATGGGGCACTCACGAATGAGCTGTTGGCGACGCATAGAGCTTGGCTTGGGGCACTCATGGTAGAGGCGCTCCAAAGCTTCAACTTGCTCGGGCGTGTACCGCACATACTTCCCGTTGTCCATTGCT